AGTATCAGTAAGCTATAGGCCAATTTCTTGTTGAAAACAAGCTTGAAGTTTATTTTAGATAAAGAACAGAACAACATTCATGTGCTGGTGTTAAAAAGAACAAGGAAATTCTTATTTCCTTTAATTTCAGCTCCTGGAAGATATGTAACAGAATTTCCAAAGGAAACCAACATTTTCCTTCTATTTAACAGAAATGAAAGACCCCTTCTTCTTCCAAGGCCTAAATTGTTATAAGCACTTTCCACTTTAGCATCCCAGCCTGTCCCTTCCCTTCCCCTGCCTTTACTCCTCCTAGTTTGCAGTCCATTTAACTTTTTTGGTTGGTTGGTCTTAACTCGCACATCAGTGGGAAATGAGTGTCTAACTCCGAAGATTAGAACATGCAGACAGAAGTCTGTAGCAGCATTTACCTGCATAACAGCTTCTCCTAGGATCCATGTAGAAACTAAGGTGGGTTATAGTTGCAAAATACATATATCTCAGATTTTTCACCTGTTCTTAATGAGAATATTGCATAACTACTGCCAAGAGGAAAGACAGATAGATTCATAGATAGATAGGACAGATTCTGTCCTCCTTGCCTTGTTTCCTCTGTGGCTCTTCCTGTAGGACTCTTTTTCCTCTGGGGATAAATATTGCTGCTTCTTACTCCAAAATTAGCCACCCCTGGCTGAGGTTTTTTGTTTTAGTCACAGTTAGGTTTTGTTATCCTTGCTAAGTTTAGATGTTTTTGAACACTTAAGACTATTGTGGCTGAGAATCAGCACTGCAATTCTAATTTTGCGAAAACAGACAGAGGAGAGAAGATGACATTTTTATTATAAAGCCCAGGACATTTTCTCCTCAAACAAGAGAAAACTTCATGCTTAAAAAAACCCACATTCAACCTTCATTACCTAAGCATGAGTGACTGTTCAGTGAACCAGGAAGCTAGATAAGTATCTCAAAAGATTTCCTGGAGGTCTTCACATGGGAATTTGTATTGGTGTACCAAAATAAGCCATCCCCATGTAGTGAGGAAATCCTGCAGTTATGACAACACCCCTGGATGAATTGAAATCCAGAAGTTCTTAAACCAATTCTTCATCATTAAAGGAGAATGATTAAATACACTAATGGTTTCAGGGTGCTGTGAAAACGACACAGTTTAGCCAATTCTGAAGGACTAAATTGCATCAGGTTTTCACAATAGATATTGCAGTATCTGTTCTCAACACTTCAAGTAGCCAAACATCTCCTAGAAGTGATGCAAGACACTGCCAACAGCTGCCTTTGACAGAGAATAAAAGTCACATACTTTAAATGAATAAATACTTGAATTCCATCCTACCATGCCTGCTCTAATTCAGTAAAGTATTTATCTTCCTTCTCAATTTCCACAGCCATCAGGAAGTTTGTTGATCCAAGAAGGGGAGGTTCTTTAGCATTATGGAGCACAGGGCTCTTCCTTTATGTATTCAGACCAAAAGTCACAATAAAGAAACTGTCTTTGACAGAGAATAAGTCACATACTTTAAATGAATAAATACTTGAATTCCATCCTACCATGCCTGCACTAATTCAGTAAAGTATTTATCTTCCTTCTCAATTTCCACAGCCATCAGGAAGTTTGTTGATCCAAGAAGGGGAGGTTCTTTAGCATTATGGAGCACAGGGCTCTTCCTGGAACATTATGTATTCAGACCAAAAGTCACAATAAAGAAAAAAGCATCAAAATTACATATTTTACATAGCACACAACTGCTTTGATGTAAATTTTGTGACTGGTCTAATAGGTATGCAGTACTGTTCTGTACTGGTTTGATCTTCTTAAGAGCAGTATCTTCAGGGTAAAACACCCTAGAGCTCACATTTCTAGAGCTCACAAATGAGGTGGTGAAGACAGTGACCCTGAGCAGGTCAGTAGAACCAGAAAACACAATTCAGTCAGAAGAGATGGTATTAAGCACAAAGTTATTCCTTGCATAAGAGCTCAGTTTTAAGAGGAACTCGAGGATGTCTTACACTGAACTAATTGTGAATGTGAAGTGACTGCAGATCCTTTAGAAGTGTTTCTTCTGCACACCACAGTAATCAGCATTTTTAACATTCCATCTCCAACACGTACTTCATTCATGCTAACCATAGCACATTTTAAACCCTAGAAAGTGGTCTTTCAACTGATTTGCAAGAATCCCCCAGGAGAGATCTTTCCCGGGTGCATTCAGGACTTGTACTGCTTCCTTACACCACCAGTGCTTCTACACTGTCCAGAAGTCCAGAAAGCAACAAAGACCTTGGACTAATTTTGAAGACTCTCTCCAATGACTGAAGATATTTCAGTCAACCTTCTTCAAACACAGTTATTTTAAAAGCAAAATCATATAATTGGCCATTTCATGCAAATAGCAATATATGACTTGTGAAATGTTATGCATATAATCAAACCTCTGGTAAGATACAGCAATGGCACTTCAAACAGAGTATTTCCTTCATCTCCTGACAACTTCTCAGCATATCTTAAAGTTTGTAAAGCATTGTTCTACTGAGACAAACCTTTGTGCCTTAGAAGTCTGTATCACTTAGAAGTGTCTCAATCCTATTTTGCATGGACTAAGTCCACATATATTTACTAGACGAAGGTATAATCTACAAAAATATCATATCATCCCAGTCTAATTGGTATTCTACAAATGATGGTGCATTTTAAGGGACAATTATCCAAGATCTTAGTTTCTAAATTAAAATTAATCACTTGAAAACTGATTAGGGTAGTTAAAAAAAAAGAAGCATTATGCTTCTGCTTTAAAAAGCAGAGTTTGTTTTAGTTATCACTGAGCAATGTGAGGAGGGTAGCTTTTTCTTTAAGAAAATGCAAAATAGCATTTTCTTTCTAACAGCAGATTTCATTTGCAGTCCAAAGATTGACAAATACCTACATGAATCTAAATGCAATAAAAAAAAATCAAAAAATGTGACACCCCACAGCCTTTCAATGAATGGGAACAGCAAGTGATGTTTGTTTCTAACTTAGCCACTCAAAATTTTGTAATGAAAACATTATCAATTAAAATACCATCCCACAAGGCTATAAAATTACATTGAACTGGAAAAAATAACTTTAGCAAATATTTATCATCAGTTTCTGAAACCTTTCCATAGTGTATTGATTGAAAATGTGGTACTGAATTAACTCAAATCTGTTTTGATTTTGAATAACCTGTGAACAAATTAAAAAACAATGTTCTATATATAAATGTCTCTTGAACAATATTATTTAGACCTTAGTTTCATAACTGTGATTTATGATTAATTAAGAAATTACTCATGTCCTATTACACTGATTTTTATTTCACAAACTACCATCTTAATGCTCAACAGCAAGATCTTGAAGAAGATAAATGCAGAACTTTTATACCAGCATTAAGAAAGTATTGATTTTAAGCATTCAGATGGAAAACGAAAGTATAAAAAAACAGAGCAGTCCAACTAACAAAAGCTTAAATTGTGGCAAAGTGCCATATATCCTATACTCCCCAAATAGCAGGCTTTTGTTGATTTAACAGAGACTTTTCTTTGTGTCATGCTTTGACAAAAGAGAACAAGACTTGTAAGTCCTATATCAGGTAAGAAAGAAAAACACATTTGGAAGAATTTCATAGAAACATATCTTTGCTGAAGCGAGAACAAAATTCTTACTAATTTCTTAAGGAAGAAATTAGTAAAAATGTAACTACTGAATTGGTTAGCAGTCAAAATGAAGAAAGTATTACTTCCAGTGCCATTCAGACACCCTTTTCTTGTCTTAGCCACATCTATGCTTTTGTTGTCTAATTAAAAATTCTACATGTTACCATAACCTTGAGAACCTGACATTCTTCCTGCTGCTTGCATTCAGAAGGGTAGCCCACCAACCAACTGCTACAGCAGAGATCACACCACAAAGCATCTGCTTCTTCCACAAGTGTCCAGTGGAAAAAAAAATCAGCATGCCACAGAACTCATCTGCTTCTTTTATACTTTATAGTTGGCCGTGCTACAACAGACAGTATTCCTGGAAAACCTCAGTTTCCTCTAATTGGACTTGAGGCACAACTGAAAATAAGATTTTCTGCAGAACAATCAGAACAAATAACCACTGAAGATGATTATTAGTTTTAACATTACTTGATCTTTGAAGGACAGTCTACTATTTTTCAAGAGATCAAACGTTTATAACATAAAAAAACAATCCTTTCTTCTTCTAGAAAACATTGCTGAACAAGTTTATTTGCTTTACTGAAGGACAAAATCAAATCACCTTACTTTCATAAACAATCTCAACCCTCAGAAAAACTGAATTTTTCAGGGTTCACAGGGAGTGCACTAAGATCAAAGATATATGAACAGATGAAAGTCTTTACCAAATAGTTACTTAAGTATTTTATAAAGTTTCTCGTTATTTTAATAGATGCATTTCCTATTATCTCGTGAATTTCATCATTTTATTTCACTTTTTACATGGTACTTTAACAAAAAGTATTTTTGTTTTTTTTTTAAGACAGCAATAAAAGTCTTTCAACAATGCTGATTGGCAGTTTGCCACTGCCATCAGCAAATCACCAGGGAAGACAGAAAGCAGAACCAAAAATAACATTCTCTAGTTGGGTCCATTGGCCATATGTTACACACGAAAATAAATAAATAAACCACCAACCAAAAACAAACATATGTTTCTCCAACAACCATAAACCAGGAAACAAAAAAAAGACAAAATCGAACTACAACTCCCCAGTCTTGACCAGCCCATTGCTCCAAGTGCAGCACTTGTTTTTAAGGTATCTTTGTTTTTTCACTTTTTAAATGAGGACCACTCAAAGTCAATTTTCCTGAACTTACTAGCAAGTGTTTATTTCTCACCAAGGCAGTACCTTCTGTAGAAGAGCCAGTCAACAAGCAATTTAGAGATTGCTAACATACAGCAGCAGCACACAGAAATGCAGCCACATGAAGGTGATCAGGTGTTGGAGCTTTTTCCTTACCTTTCCCATTTTGCCATGCAGTGTACCAGGACAAACTGAGGAAAGTAGTGATGAAAACTAACACGGTGGCCACAGTTCCATTTCGGAGCCTCATCTCATTTCAGCATCACACTTGCTTATGTTCTGCTAGTGGAGAGGACGTAGCACTTGGGCTTGCAATGAAGTCAGCTGAAGTACTCCAGCAGCAGCTGGACAACAGCAACACAAAATGTAGCTCTCACATATCAGATGTATCACAAATCAATCCATTCCAAACTGCTGTACGCTTTCTTATAGTTCTCATCAATCCAGCTTCTCTTTATTCTTCTAGTCCTGTTTAAAGGAAACAAAATGTTAACAGATTATGCCAAAAATACTTAGAAGAGTCCCCCAAGAACCAAAATATACTACATCTTTGCTGTGTCTTAGGTGCACCATCCTCTCACTGCCTCAGTCTTGGCTCAGAGAATAGAACTTTTTAGATTAATGTGTGCCTTTCCTAAGACTGTTTGCATCTGGGGGAGCTGTATTCCACAGGAATTTGGTCACCAAAGGACAAACACACACACCACCAACATTACAATTTGATTCTCAACTCAAGGGAAGGTCATATGTCACCTGGCAGGTGTCAAACTGATACAAAAGCTGCTTTCAGGATGCAGTAACTCAAGGCCCCACTCCTAAGACCTCACTTCAACAAAACCCCTCTGAAATCAGTGGGTCTCCTGGAACTGCAGGAGCAGAACCGCCTCCAGCGAGTTGAGAGACCAGAGCTTTGAACACCGTGTACAAACCTACATCTCTCATCTTTGCTCAGTGCAAGAGGATTTGATCCATCCACAACCATTTTTTCCCTATCTCATTTGCATTTAAAGCACAGACCACACTCCCACATGGAGAGACAGCTCAATCCATACCAACTGGCATCAACCCAGAAGCCCCCAAAAAACCATGGTTTGCTCCTCTATACCACATAGGCATAAAGATAAAACCTAAGTTACCTACAGTTCAGTTTTATCCCTCAGGAAGGTTCCACATCCTGGTATTAGATAATCATCAACTAGCCAAACACAGCCAGTTGTGTTAATCACACTGTCCTAAGCAAGACAAAGAGAGTATACAGGGCAATAAATAAACCGACTCTAAAAGAGAGGGGAGAGGTTTTCAAAGTATTAAATCATCTCTACAGTAGTCAAACATTAGCAGACAACATTCTTTCAAGGCACTGCCAAGTTTTTCCCCCACTATAAACTATATCTGATACAAGTATGTTACTCAGCAATAAATAACTTGTTCTGCATTTTCTTTGGAAGCAGTCTCTGTCACCTTCTTGCCTTGCTGCATTCAGAACAGGGGAAAAAAACTCCACTCTTTATTATTACAGCACCAAGAGATTCCAGTCCAATTTGAACTATTCTTCCCAAGCATCTATCACAGCACATATTACCTCTACCAAAGGGCCCACAAAACAAGGCATAACCAACAAGATTGGTTAACAAAAGAATAGAAATGATCAATAAAGTACAGAACCACACGCTCTTGTGTTCAAATCTCAGTCACATCATCTAGATTACTGGAAGTGTTTACCTTTGGACCACAGTTACCTCACCTATAATGCCAGTAACGTGCTCTATTTGAGGAACTTCATGCACGGATAGGTTTGTGGCTTTAAACATTAACTCAGAAGGCCCACAGTACCTATGAGGAAGGGAACAAATGCAAGTACATGGGAAGCAGACACAGTGGATGGTAAAATTCAGTGAGAAACAAAATAATGAACTGGAATAGAAAGAACTGCAAAATGCCTTTCAATATGAGAAACCCAAGCTCAACACAATGAGAGATAAAGACAACTGAGACACCTATAAAGAGCTAACACAGAGAGCACAGAATGCCAAGAAATATCATCAGTACCAGCATTCTGAATGGGAGAGGGACATAATAAAAGCCAGAAGTATGGGCAATGATAATTGTCTTGATGAACTTTAATAGCAAGGAGAGGCAAAGATCCCAAGTCCCAAAGTTTTGTAAGGACTGTCTATGTGAATTTAGGAAATTCACATGATCCCCAAACTACCAGAGTAAGTGACTAGGATACCAAGACTAACAGTTCAAATCAGATGAAGTTTCTCTGAAGCAAGAATGCTGTTATCCTGTTTCAATATCCTGAAACTATTACTTAGCTTCCCCATGATTTTAGCATCAGACAGAGCTCTCTGGAGCAGCTCAGGTGTGCACAAAGGACCAGGCTGCAGGCTAGAGGGATTATCCCAGGGAGGGCAACTGGCAGCTGCTCCAACGTGCAAACAAGAGAGGGCAACCAGGCAAGTAGAAATATTATCCGATAATGCAAGGAACCATCTGCCTTTCCAGAAAACACAGGCATAATTTTTACATTTGCTGCAACAAAATCAAGATGTTGCGATCAGGGCCTCTCATTGTGCTATCTGAATCCTCAAAAACAGAATCAGAAAAAATTCAGAAAACAAAAAAGTGAAAGGAAGAGTAGCAACCTGATTCAACCAGCAGTCAGTATGCACAACATTGTGTCAAATCAATAACTATCATGAGTTTGAGTTGGCTGGTTCTGCTTTCATCCTTCTCTCCGGGTGTTGTAACCACAGGCACCAGCAGCTCAGCTACAGCTCAGCAGTACTTAGATGATTATTTAAGCTTTTCACTATATCAAACTGCATACATCAAGGCCATGCATAAACCAGACATGTTCCAGCTTTTAAAAATGTAATATAGCTAAACCAGCAGAAACACATGTGTAGTTGCACATAAATTATTTAAGTCCCAGGTGGTCACTTTAGGTTTGTTCAATAATTTACAGCACAATCCAAACAAATTTAACTGAGGGGTAATCCAGTTTGAGATGACAGTATGAGAAGGTATAACCAGACAGATGAAGCCTATGAAATTTGCCAGCACCATTATGACCCGAACCTTTCCCCCTGCAGACCGAAGGGAATGACCCGGCTGGATGCTGGAGGCCAAGGGTGCTGAAGGTGCCGGCACCTCTCGGATGCGGAGCAGAACCCTACTGAATCACGTCTTAAATAAACCAAGAAGTTTCTGCTTGCATCCAGACACTCCCAAAATACACACAAAGCATATTCCCAACCGCAAACCATAAAAACTGATACACTCCAGTGCGCCTGCAAAGGCTCTTCACATAGCTGCTGAGGGGATGGATGGTGCGGGATCACAGCACGAAGCGCGCCAGACTTCCGAGAGGATGAGCCAGACCCCATCCTGCCGGGAGGGTGCGAAATCACCTACCGCGCTAGCACGGCTGCTCTGAAAAGGCTGCTCATGAAGAACGGCCCGTGAGGAAGCGGCAGCTAAAAGGCGAAGGCGGCGGGGACCCGCTAAATAGGGGTTTTTCCGCCGTATTTCCACTGGCACGCTCCCCCACAGCCGCGGCGCGCAGCCGGCCGCCGCCACCCGCGCCCTGGCATCGCGCAGCCCTCACGCCCGGGGAAGGGCATCGGCTGCCGCCGTGCGAGTTAGTCAGGACCTGCCCGCGGTCCCTCCGCCGCGGTCTCAGCTATCTCGTCGGGGAAGCGAAAAATCGGGGGGGTGACGGGCACCGGGAGCCGCCAGCTCTGCCGGGCGGCAGAGGGCGAGAGCTGACGGGGACGGAGGGAGGCGGGGAGGGAGAGCGCCGGTCCGGGGAGCTGCGCGGCGCCCGGGGCATCGCGGCGAGGCTGCGGGGGAAGGAGCCGGCACAGAAAACTGCAAACTCCGCCGAACGCCCTGCGATCCCCGCGCGCGGCCAGGAGGAAGGCTGGGGAGCGGGGTATCCCCAGGCACCCCAGCAGCCGAGGGAGAGGGCGCAGCGCCGCTCTGCCCCGGAGCCCCGCGGGCAGCCCCGAGCAGCGGGCCAAGGGAGAGGCGGCAGCAAGTCCTGCGGAGGAGCGGCCGGTGCTCCCCGCACCGCCACGCAGGTGCACGGGAGCGCAGAGAAGAGCGGGCGGGCAGATGGCGGAGCAGGACGGCCCCCAGCCTCCCTCCGGCGACACCGCAGAGACCCGCGGGGAGGGGAAGCGCCTCCGCCGTGCTGCCGCTCCTGAGGGTGAGCAGAGCCGCCCGTCCCCGGACCCCCCCCGGAGCCGAGCCGGCGGTCCGCAGGGGCGCGGGGCGCGCAGGGGCAGCGGGGCGCGCTGACCGCCGCTGCCGTCCTCACCTGTGCGCGGCGCTGAGCGCGCGGAGCCCCGCCCCGCCCACCCGCCGGCACCGCCAATGGCCGCCGCCGCGGATGGCGCCACTCATTGGCTGGGCTGCCTGTCACTCTCTTCGGCCGCGGCTATAAATGGCGCTGTCTCGCAAAGCCTCCCTCAGCGGCTGCGGCGGGAGCCGGGAGCGGGGGTGGTGTTTTGGAGTGCTGCTTGCGGCGGCGTGTTCCCTTTTTTGGAGCCGCTCTTGGAGGTTTGTGACTCCGGGAGAGCCCCGGGAAAGGCTTAGCTGCGCCAGCGCTTGGGTGCTTATTGCCCCCTGGTGAGGTGCCCTCTGATCTTGGGCCAGGGCTGCGTCCCTAGCCCACTACGTGGGTGTTTCTCCGGCTGCCTGTCAGTGCCGCGCAAGCCACACGTATCGGTGTCCCGTGTGACCGGCTGGCTCACCGCTTACAAGGAGTCACAGTCCTGAATTTCACCGTTGAGTTCATACCCTGCTAATAAACACCTCCCGGAGCTTGGATTGGGAGCTGTCGAAATTAAAGACCGGGCTGTTGCTTCACGGCAGTGAAAGGAGCCCTGTGTGCTTTGTCCCGCCCTGGGCAGGCGGTGCCCGGGCAGCGGCGTGTGGGCCGCCCCGGGGTGGCCGCGCAGGTACGGCCGTGTGGGTGGGAAAGGCAGCCCGCTGTGCTCCGAGGTGCCTGCGCTGTGCGATCACTGAGGGAATGTCAGTGGCAGCTTTGCTCTGTGGGTTCACTATTTAGGGTCATGATGCTGCTGTTCTGTAAGTAATCCCTTGTCTTCAGTGGTTTGTTTCATGTGTTCCGGGAATTCCATGCATTTTTTAGGGTCTGAAAACTTCAAATCAGATGGCATGCTTAGCTTAGGGCAGGGTCCCATCTACCTCACAAGAGCTCTGCTCTTGACATGTGGTGCTAACTGGCTGGCAGTGTTCAATCCTTTTCATGGACTTGATTTCTTCCCCTTCTGTGCTTACCTGCCACCTACTTATAGAATGGATTGTATTAAAGATGATCTAGGTCCAAGGCCCCTTGCCGTGGTCAGGAATACCTTCCACTAGACCAGGTTGTTCTAAGTCCCATCTCACCTGGCCTTGAACACTGCCAGGGTTGGGGCATCAATAACTTCTCTGGGAAATCTGTGGAGTTTCGTTCTCCATTAAGGGTTTTACGCTGGATGTAGTGGGATAGTTCCCCACTAGAACTTTAGAAACTGTGGAAAAATCTTGCAAGTTGTTCTGTCTGCAGAGTGACATTTAACAAGTTTCCATATGCTTTCATGTTTTCTTAACAGTGCTTCAACACATTACAGTATTTTTACACGTTTGGGTACCTGCACAGTAGCCTTCAGTGATTTTTCTTTCTCAAGGATTTCAAAGAGGGTCTGGTGGCAATGCAGGCAGATCGCAATAAAGAAGCTCAGGAGAAGTTTGCAAGGTCTTGACATCCAGGCTGTTCTGTGATTTTACTCATTGAGTGGTGAGAATTTATTATGTAAATGTGTGCTTCAATCCTCCCTTTTACAAAGAAGTGGAATGAAGTGGATTTTTTATTGAAAAACAAATTTAGCACAATAACTTTCAAATAAAAATTAGAGCATGCTGCCCATCCTCATGCACACAGACACATCTATGGCAGAATTTCTGTAGAGATCCCAACATTAGAGGCACCATTGTTTGCATCTAATAGATTAGTGCTGCTTAGGGATATGAATTTTTGCATTTCTGTGCTGGGAAAAAAAAACTGGCAGAGACATTTTCAGATAAAAGTCCTTTTGTCAGGAGAGCTTAGTCTGCTGAAGAAAAGACTGTTACAAGATGAGTATAATGGCATTTATTTCACAGGGACTGTCTGAGCCTTCCTACTTTTTGTCCTTTCACTGACTGGACGTTTACATTAGGAAGGTTTACTGACTGGAGCTTGGCAGTGTCCAATTAACTATTAACTTCCCCAAACAATAGAGTGCATGTAATGTAGTTGTTCCTCTGGCAGTCATCCTCTTGAGTTAGCTTCTTTCCTGAGAAAGAAGGCAAAGTTCAAACCCGGGGGGGTAAATCCACATTGCCCTCATCTGACCTACTACAGCAATAATCAAATGCCTCTTGGCATATTCCACTGCTTGATGCATGGACAGAGTGCACAGTGAAGGAAGTGCTGGAGCTGCCAGTGGAAAGCAGTTGGGGCAGGCACACTGAAACATCCCTTACTTCTGGTGAAGATGGCAGCCCCCTTTTTGGCCTGAACAATATTTAATGCCAGCAAATTTCTAAATTCATTCTTCCTGGTGAGTTATTCTTGCATTCTGCAGCCACTGCTGTTCAACTGGAGTATCTGTCTGAAATGGGAGATGATTAAGCAATCCAAAACTCCCAAAATTGTATTTAAATGCATGTGTAAGGTACATACACTGTAACAGCCTTAACAGGGGAGACCTGAGGGGAGAAAATAAAATTTTAAAAATAAAGGAAGTTTAAATCCCTAGTATTCCAGCTTTGGTTGCTGAAAAAAAAAATAGCCAAACAAGAAACTTGCTATTCTATACCAGCAGGCAACAACACGAGCGAGAAATGAATAATCATATTTCAACAGAGGGAAGACTTCATGCTGAGAGGTTTTTGTTAAGGTATTACCTAACTATCAGAGTAAAGACAAATTGGTAAAAGATGCTCCAGGCCTGCCACAATTTCATATATGCTGCAGAGGCTGCACACCTGGGTAGCCAACTTCTATAAAGCTGTTGCTATTCATTGGCTCTAGATCCTGTTTTATCCAAGCATTTTCCTGACTCCTTCAGAAGCTCAGCAACTGTTGTTGTTCTTGCATTTCACTGTGTTCATGTTCTGGCTTTCTCGGGCACTGAGAAAGATTCAAAATAGGTAGAAGTGCTTGGCAGTGGCAGCAAAAATCTGAATGGTTGTTTGGCTGAAAAATGGCCATCTGAAAATTGTCAGCATTTCCCAACCAAAAATTGAATTCTCTCTTAGAGAAAGGATTTATTCCCAGCCTGCCACTTAGCCCTGTTTTTCAACAGAGCAAATTCCTTTCAGTGCTTCTACCTCCATTTAACCTCAGTTTTTCCTTTTTCAATTGTAAACCTTTCATGACCATATCTTTTTTGCTTTATGTTAGCTGAGCACCTTGCTCAGAGAAACTATTTTGCTGGGCCTTTTCCATACTCCCATATCAACAGTGAAGAAAGAGGAGCACGAATACACGCAGTGTGTATCACAGAAGGACTGGCCACGGTTGCCCACTGCCCCTGCAATTGCTCTGTGGCCAGGCTGGCTCCTGCTTGAGGCCACGTGCCATCCCTGCAGTACATGGATGGGGCAAGGAAAAGCCAACTGCCCTTCAGCCATGTTCTTATACCCAGAGTGCTGAGGAGCTGGGCTTCAGGTCATGGCACAGCACAGGGGGGATCTGAGGCCCTCACCCAGCACCATGGCAGGGCAGGAGGAGGCCAGGCTCATGTGAAGGGAAGGGAGGAAGAAGGGGAGCTTTCCCATCCCCTTCCTGTGAGTAGGTTAAACAGTATGAGAATAGAGAAGGTTTTCCCATCTCACAGGCAGATTTCATGCTCATGCAAATTCAGGTCTCATTCCAGTTTTGTAGATGTAACTGAAACAAATGAATGCCTCAGTTGCTGAGGTAGTTTGCAAAATACAGGTTTTGGTTTGTAGTATTCTAAACTTATTTTGTACACAAAGCTGCTAGATGTAGAGTTCATGGCTGGTGTAGCAGCTGTTGTAGCACTAATACTCAACAAGAAAAAGGACATGGAAAATTGGAAAATCATACTGAAATACAATTATATATACAAATGCTTAGTAGCCATAAAATGCCACATTTAGATAATCTTTACTGTATTCTTCGTGATAACATTATGAAATAATCTTCTATGTTGTGATGCTGCATCTCCACACAGAGCTGTTTCACTCAGAAATCAGGTGTGATCCCTTCCAGTAGGTAGATTGTTGTTCCACTTTGACAAGATAAAAACCGAGGAGTGAGAGAGAGCAAATAATCTGCCTGAGAAGTC